TTTTTAAGAATCGTGATGATAATACGACAGGGATGATAATGATAATAATGATGGTGTTAACGATTATTAGGATGACAGTAATGTTGATAAACGTAAACACAGTAATGGTAAGAATGATAAATATTGTTGTTATTGATAAGAGTAACAATAGAAATAGTAGTAGTAATAATACTAACAGCAGTAGTTGTGGTGATGATAATGATGACAATAAAAGTAATAATAATAATACAATGATAATGATGATAATAATGATAATGATAGTAAAAATAACAATCATAACAACAATAATGATAATGATAATATAAATAATAATAATAATAATGGTAATTATGATAATAATAATGGTAATAATGATATAATAATGGTAATAATGATAATAATAATCATATATAATAATGATACTGATGCTGATAATGATGATGATAGTGATGATAATGATGATAGAGATATAATTATGATAATAATTTTGATGCTGACAAAGATGATCATAGTAATAATACGGAAGATAATGTTAATAATGATAATGATAATCTTGATTATAATAAAGATATGATGATTATAATAATAACAACAATGATTAGGATAATCATTTTGATACTGACAAAGAGGATCATACAGTGATTATCGTTCTGCAAATAATCACAATAATAATATGAAAATGTCACCAATGTATATATCTGATCAGTTGGTAGTGTCTGTCTCTCTGTATACTTACTTTTCTTTTTCTTTTGCTAATAGAAATGGGTTGATGATGACAGCATTAATAGTGACAATAAAACTGGTAAAATTATTTTCCACTAATAACAGTAAAGATAATACTGGTACCAATAAAGATTATACAGCTGCTGATAATGATGAAGTAACATCGATAATACTATATTAATGAAGATGAAACAGCTTATACTAATAACAGCAAGGTAATATTCCCATTAATGAAAATTAGTGATACTACTTATAACAGAAAGAATAATACTTCCACTTAAATTATACTACCTCTGCTAATAACAATAACGATACTGCTACTACAAACACTAACAATAACGGCACTGTAACTCATAATAACTGCATGAACCAATCCGTAAAGTTTTTAAGTTATTGATCCAAAACTACTCGCCATCATCTGTGTGAGGCAGGCAGGGCGTGTTATTATTATCGTTATTTAGAAGCAAAATTTCTGACAACAAAACTTCTGTGCAGGTTTTTTTCTTCTCCATCAGTAACCCAGTACTCATAGCGGCTTCATAGATATTAAAACTTTGGTTGCCCTCATAAGTAGGGACTTGGTTGCCGAACAGAATATAAATACAGAATGCTTGGTAGAGAAGCAAGTGAATAAAAAGTTTCCAGCACAGTTCTTTGAAAAAAAGAGAGATAATTACAAATGTACAGAACTTTGTTAAGGAGATTTCAGTGTTTCCTAATTGTTTCGTACATCTAATTACCCTGTTATAACCACGGCATCTTCAAAATGGATCGGTGAGTAAACGTTCCTTTTTTTAAGAATTGTTAACAGGAGAGACTAATTAGGTCTCCATGCTATTCACCTTAAGCATAGCGATGGAAGGAAAAGAGCCGAGATATAATGATAACAGAGTTTACTTTACTGAATAAACTTTGTTTTGTGATAAATTACATCCCCACTTTTCCCTGAGAACTCTTGGCGACAAGTTTGGAATCAAAGCCAAACTTCCAAACTGTAATAGCTGGAAGTTGCTGCATACGTCATAATATTAATTTAACTGTTTTCTAGACACTTAAGAAAGAGTATTGTGTAAAAAAAATGTTTGTTCAAGAAATCCGTTTTATAATCGTTCAAGATCTTTATCATTCCATGATGAATTAATCTAATAAGTTTATTATATAGTCAGATAGGCCTATTAATTCATATATTCTGTGCGGCACCTTAGCAGTTCGAACACAGACAAATTCGATAGTTATAAGTATAGTAACTGATCTCAAGGCTTTCAAATCATGTAAACTATTATTCTTGTTTCAATGTCCACGGTGTTGTTATACTATCCGGAAGACTGTATAAGAAAAAGTGCGACAACAAAGAAGAAAGATACAACAAAGAGGAAAGGTGAAACTGACATTTCATGTGGAGGAGTGACATGTGTACCCGGAAGTACTGTATGAATTATGCATGAATTATAGTAGACTAGACTCGTCATAAATCTGGTGTATTTAGCATAGATTAGGATCAAAGATATGCATTGTGTCATATCAGCATAGATTTTTTGATTTCGTATGTATTTCTTCTTATTTCAGACGACGAAAACCCATAAAGCACACACACACACCACACACACACACACACACACACACACACACACACACACACACACACACACACAACACACACACACACACACACACACGCCCCCCTCCCCCACCTCCCACACACACTTCTGAAATGCCTCAGAATATCGTTAATTCTGCACTGGTGAGTCCAATGCAATATAAAGCTCTAAGTGATACGATTGTGGATTAAACTATACTGAACATTTTTGGAGGTTAAATATCTCGAACGTACGATTAAATCACGGACGAAACAGTAATAATTATTTGTATATTCATGGGTATTGTTACTGTTTGAACATTCATACTATTCTCGGTATTGGTGCATCTATTATTATCAGTAATTCCAGTGATGATATTTTCAATTCAGTGTCAAAAATACT